ACACACACACACACACACACACACACACAAAAACAAGATTTTTGAATAAATAATATGAAATAAATTTCCCCATAGCGACAACTGTTGGGTTCAGGGAACCGAGATTACGTTGAGTAACCAAAGTCATTTCAGCAGGAACTATGTAAATACAGGAAAGGAAACTTTGCTTGTCATTAATGCTCCAAAAACATACCTATATCTACAATTTACAGCAATTCTATCGGGATTGACCACTACTGGTAAAGTGAAACACCAACAAATTGTATTCATGTTCACACAAATTATGATTACTACAGAAGACTATTGATTAATAAAGACTTATTTTCACATTTCAGTTTGAAAGAGTCGCAAATGTGCGAAAAGCAACGTAATATCATTTTGCTGAAATGTCACCACAGATAAGTTTTTCCACTGAGCTAGGGTAGTGTGCAGTGGGTTGAATTACATTTTGCAAATGAACGTAGGCTAAAAGTCACTCTACTATTTATTTGAGACTGGGCAAGCGTTTTCTAGACCAGATCACATTTTTTATTAATATAGAGCATAAGTGTGCCAGGAAATATGTCTTATTTGACCTGCGGTATTGGAGGTTGAAGTGAGCGAGGAGAAGAGGTAATTAGATGGGTTGAGGAAATTGAGCTAAGAGAGGCTAACTTTATGAAATCACTTGTCAAAACCAGCGCTGCTATTAGTCACACAGTACCTATTCGTGCGATAAGAGAGTCACCAGCAGGTTATGTGTGGTGATAGTCATAATAATGTTGGTGAATGTTATGTTTATGAAAGAAACATGAAGCACTCAGGTTTACAGTTGTGATAAAACCATAAAAATGTTCAGCACACTCTTCTTTTTGTCAGATGGTACCATATCTTAAAAGCCTCTAAATGGGGTATCTGGCATAATTTAAATCAATTAGTCTAATGAGATACAGTGAGAAACAGAGCTTAATCATACATGTATAATCCACATCTGGTTTTAATGACAAACAACTACTGTTTTTATTTAAAAATTCTCTTTAGTTTTTGTTTTATTTGTGTTGTATCAGTTTGTTTTCAAAATCAATAACTAAATTGCTTGTATACACTCTCAGCAAAACAAGGTACAAAAGCGGTCACTGGGGCGGTACCCTTTCAAAAGGTACACCTTGGTACCTTTTTTACCCCAAAGGGTGCTTATTAATACCTTTAAGGTACATATTAGTAGCTAAAGTGTGTGTATTAGTACCTTTTAAAAATGTACTGCCCTGGTGACAGCTTTTGTACCTTTATTTCTAAATTGGTGGTTCATCTCTTTAGATCACTGATGTCAGTGTCACGTGGAAGGGACATGAGGAGGTCAAAGATGAAAGAGTGGCAAATGTAAAAGTGAGGGACGATCTCTGATTATCTGAGGGGAGACAGTCTCTCACATACATATCAGCTGATTAAAAAGTGATGTGCAACATCTGCCTAAAGATGGAGAGAACATGAGAGAAGCATAGAAGAGTGTGAATGAGAGGTGTGAGGAAGAAATCTATGTGAAGATGTGAGAAGAATGAGAAAGAAGGGGATAAGGGAGAAGGCATGGCTGGGGAGGCTTTTTTTTTTTTAGGTCAGATTTCTCCCACAGGCTGTTAATGTTAGATACCACTCTCAGACACTCTTGAGAGGAAAATCTTTTGAATTGGGGACCTACATCTCTTTGACAACTCTTAAACAGCAACACTTAAACCACTGCAGAGACTGTAGAGGTGCATGCCGTGGCCCCAAAAAGAATTTGAACACCTAAAAATGTATGCATGCCATTGCAACTTTTTCACTCACCAGCCAGTTTGGCTACTCAGTTTTTAAGTTTAGGCCTACTTATTATATTTAATTATATTTATTATAAAATCTGTTTATGAATTATTGAATTGATTTAAATTTTATCACAGTCAGTCTTGTTTGCAGATAGAATAGAAATGAATGTCCTAAACTAAATCCTACCCATCACAAAATTGTCTGTTACTTCTCTGATAAAACATAATTTGTTTTCTTAGAAAAAAAATAATCAGCTGTTTTCTCACAAAAGTCTGCGAACTCGGCGTATTTGAAGCCTCTCCTCCGTTGACATGCAATAAAAAATCCAAGACCTCCAAGGAGTCAGATAATGATATACAAATCATGCCCCAAAATAAAATAAAGACACTAAAGGGCACTTTTGGCATCTGCATCGAGACAGGTAAAAGTCTTGGATAGCCAACATTTATCAGATACTTAAGGGTTGAAAATATGCTCTTCTTGCCAGTGTACTATAGTGTTATGCAATGTTTTTGTTTATGCTAATGTTTTTTGTTTGTTAATTTTTGTAAAGTTTTATTTTTGGCCTTTATTTAGACAGTATAGCTGGAGAGAGGACCGGAAGCAAAGAGGTAGAGAGAGGGGTACAGGACCAGGAAAGGACCGCGATCCTGGACTCAAACTTAGGTTGCCTGAAGCGCAGCTGCACTATACACTGCCCACGAGGCTATCAGCTCCGACATGTTTTGCTGATATTGGGGGTTCTGATAGTGATGGCATGCAAAGTGATGAAACATAATAATCATAACCTTCCAAATTGGCTAGTTCATAGCGTTACATGCCATGGTTGTTTTTCACCCACATTTAGCGGGTTGGCAGTTAATTTCAAACCATGATTACATTACATACAAAATATGACGACAAGTGGCATCTTCAAACAAATAGCATTACAGCTTTTCTTAGAACCTACTTTACTTTTTTTAGTCATTCTTGCAATGACTTTTAACTAGTTGGTGCCAGTCTGATTTTTACTGGATGTATGAAGTCAGTTCCTCACAAATTCACTCAGAATAACCTCAAGTGTAGATTATCACATTACCTATTTACTTGATCCACTACTGTTAGACTTTTGATTGAACATATGATATAAATACTCTTTTAAAAAAATACTCTCTGAATATTTTTTGACTCTACTTTATATGGCTCTTTTAATGAACATGTCAGATAACCCCTTCTGCTTCCTGTGTCATATTATTCATATACACATTTATAACATTTTCACTCTACCAGATGCTGTCTGTCACACCACCAGATGTTCTTTTTTTGCATCCTTTTATTTATCTTAATGAAACATGATGTTCACAGACCTTTACCACAGTGAGCCCAGATGTTAAAGGACAGAAAAAAAGTATGTTTATAAAACTCTGAGGGAAATGGAGAGATTAAGTGTAAGAAATATCAAGAGGAAATTTATCTAAGGGAGGTATGGAAGAGACGACAGTGTCA